TTATTTGCAGCATCACTTCTCCCAGGTTGTATTCCGTGTCCAGTCTTCTCACTCTTCCACCTTAATATGTTTGCAGTGTTCTTGTGGCCTCTCCTTCATTAGCTTTTTTTTCAGTAATGTAACGTTATACTACAGTCATCACCATCGCTACCATTACTACCATTACCGCCACCACCATCCTCACCACCACCATCCTCACCACCACCACCACCATTATTGTCATCATTACCACCACCATCACCGCCATCACCATCACCACCATTATTGCCGTCATTACCACCACCATTATTATTGCCATTATTACCACCACCATTATTATTGCCATCATTACCACTCAATATCGATATCTAATTTCTGGCCGATGCCTAATGAGAATGTTTATTGCACAATTAGTATTTAACACAGAAAGGTTAAATATTAACTTAATTAGCCTGTTGTATTACTTACAATCGAAAAGTTGCTTTAACAACCTGTGTGTGTGTGTGTGTGTGTGTGTGTGTGTGTGTAACCCACACAACGTAAGGTAATATGTCATTTTTTATATTTCTGAGCACAGGTGTAATAATACAAAGGTACCCGCCGTTTTTTCACCGATACCTTAAAAATGGCCGATACCGATACTTGGCACATCCCTACTCGATATTGGTATCACCATCACCACTATCATCACTGCCCTGCCATTATCATTATCAGTTTTCTCATCACCCATCACCATTACCTACCACCACAATGATCAACAATCATACCTCTTAAATTCACGTAGTTACAATAACAGTACTGCAGACTACAGTAAAATTTAAGTCTGGCTTGGATAATGTTGTGTGTGGTGTTGAAATTCCCAGGTGAATGATATAGTTGTTTATCTACCAGAGTCTACCTCAAACACTACACTCTGGCAGTTATCTACCAGAGTCTACCTCAAACACTACACTCTGGCAGTTATCTACCAGAGTCTACCTCAAACACTACACTCTGGCAGTTATCTACCAGAATCAACCTCAAGCACTACACTCTGGCAGTTATCTGCCAGAGTCTACCTCAAACACTACACTCTGGTAGTTATCTGCCAGAGTCTACCTCAAACACTACACTCTGGCAGTTATCTACCAGTCAACCTCAAGCACTACACTCTGGCAGTTATCTACCAGTCAACCTCAAGCACTACACTCTGGCAGTTATCTACCAGAGTCAACCTCAAGCACTACACTCTGGCAGTTGTTTATCTTCCTGAGTCAACCTCCAACACTGGCAGTGTTTTCCACTTGTTGCTGTTTATTCCCTCCTCTGTGTCATGTACCATATGTACATTGTAATCACCAAGGCTCCCAACACTGACCCAGGTGGCACACCACTCACAATGGCTTGTCATTTCGATTTCTCCATTAATGCAAATTCTTTTGCCTATCAAGCCGGTCGGACATACCGCTACCCAGGAGATAATTTATCTTATTCCATGTGCTGCTACTTTCTTAATCGGTTTTCTGTATGGAACTAGCGGAAAAAGGTTAGCAATTCGTAAGGCAAGAACACCCCTTTGAGATTCTTAGCTCAGATTGTCTTTGAATTGCATCAGCAGTTACTGATTCCATCAATTTTCCCACACTAGAGAGTTAGGCTGATCAGTCTATAATTTAAGCTAAGGACCTGTCTCCCGATTTGTAAATGAATATCACATTTTCCATTTTCCATTTATCCGGTATACTTGTTTGGAGAGACTAGCTGATGTTTTGGTGAGTTCCTCTCTACATTCCTTCAGAACTCTTGAAAACAGCTCATTAGGGCCCGGTGACTTGTTTAGCTTCAGTCTATCTAGTTGTTGAGAACCATGTCACCAGTGACTGTTACTGCATTATTTATTTTCGTTCTGACATATAATTATTAATTTCGGGAATTTCGTTTGTGTCCTCATGTGTAAAAAAACAGAAGAAATCAATGTTGAAAATAGTACACATTTCTTTTTACCTAACAGTAAGCTGACCTGAGCTACCTTTTAGTAGACACTCCTTTTTTCCTTAATACTTCCATATACCTAAGAAAATCTTTAGATTGGTCATTTGATCTCTCGTAACTTTTGCAGTGTTAAGATTTCGTTAACGGTATATATTAGTTTGGCTGTTTCTTTTTCTTTACTTCTCTCTTACATTGAATGTATTGTTTAGTAAAGTGACCATCATCTCTTTTGTTTGGCCTATAAATACCTTCATTTTCACCCAAGAAATGTTTGAGTTTATTGTTAATCCATTTAACGTCATTCATGTTGGATTTAAATTCTCTATTAGGTATGCATGCAGCTAACCAGCTTGTACAGAGCTGTGGAAAATGTTATATTGGCAGCCATCACCACTACCTATCCAGTCTCCCTCACGATAGTAACTAGTCATGCTTCCCCCAGTCTAACTTCATCCTTCAGTCTCATAATCTACAGAGCAAAAATTGGGTTATCGTTAATAAGGTAATTTCATGACATTAAAGCTAAGTGAATTGTGATTACTTTCCCCAAGCTCTTCTTGAACCTTAAGATTACCTATCAGAGAATCCTTGTTTGCCAGAACCAAGTCCAGCAAGTTATTTCCTCTAGTTGGTTCTGACACACTGTTTTAAACAGCAGTCCTGGACCACTTAAAGAAAGTCGCCAGACTTTAGATTACCTTACAAATTGCTCCAATTCATTTGGCTAAAGTTAAAATCGCCCTTGAAAACTACCTTTTCGTTTCCAGACACCTGAGCAGTTTCGTCCCAAAGATGTTTATTGTGGTCATTATCGAGGTTTGGAGGTCTGTAAATCACGCTTTTCGAGATACTACAGCTGGACAGATTCCGTGTCTGTCCTTCCACCTTTATAAAGTTTCTGAGGCATTTTATAAACTGTATTCTACCATTAACATATACACGTCACACTGATGCAGTTAGCTGCCACATTCACCACGTGTGGATGGCAATCCGTACTAGCTGGAGAGCGAATGAGGGAATAGTGTGAGTGGAGGCTTAAATCTTTTGATTGTAGAGACGTTAGGCTACAGACTGAGTTAATGTATTTATCAATGGGTGTGCGCATTTATTGATCAGCATGCCCTATACACAGGAATACTATAGAAGGGGACGTAGTAGTACAACCTTTTATTGGAACAACGTGTCTTTCCGTGTAGAGATTAATCAAGTCATAAAACTGTTGATCAGGCTTTACACCAAGCGAAAGAGCTGAACAGGCACTGTGATTCCATCAGTATGTAAATAAATACACATAGGCACAGTTAAAGACATTAAGACAACTTATAACCACTAGTGGCAACATGTTTTCTGAAATGTCTGATTGTGCCTGTTTGTGTTAATCTGAGCGAAAAGTCTTGTTTTTATCATTTCCGGCAATATGTCAGTTAGATACGACACTTTGATTTTTTTTACATAATTTTTGCCATTTTTTTTACACATTACCGTTGCAATATTTCCCAGGACACGACTCTGCAAGGTTAGGATAGGGAGAGAAAGAGAAACGTCCCATACTAGATGTAGCTGTCGGGTTCCTAAGCACTTAGAGGGTGGTAGGCAGGTCTCTAAACACTGGAGGGGTGGCCAACTTGGGTGGTCAATTACCTGGAGGTTATTCCGGGGATCAGCGCCCTCGCGGCCCGGTCCATGACCAGGCCTCCCGATGGATCAGGGCCTGATCAACTAGGCTGTTACTGCTGGCCGCACGCAGTCCAACGTACGAGCCACAGCCCGGCTGATCCGGCACCGACTTTAGGTATCTGTCCAGCTCTCTCTTGAAGGCAGCCAGGGATTGGCAATTCCCCTAATGCTTGATGGGAGGCTGTTGAACAGTCTAGGGCCCCGGACACATGGTGTTTTCCCTTAGTGTACCAATGGCGCCCCTACTTTTAATTGGGGGCATTTTGCATCGCCTGCCCAGTCTTTTACTTTCGTAGGGAGTGATTTGTGTGTGCAGATTTGGGACCATTCCTTCCAGGATTTTCCAAGTGTAGATAATGATGTATCTCTCCCTCCTGCGTTCCAACGAGTACAAGTCAAGTGCTTCCAAGCGTTCCCAGTAGTTAAGGTGCTTGACAGAACTTACACGTGCAGTAAAGGATCTCTGTACACTCTCTAGATCTGCGATTTCACCTGCTTTGAACAGAGATGTTAATGTACAGCAGTATTCCAGCCTAGAGAGAACAAGTGATTTGAAAAGGATCATCATTGGCTTGGCATCTCTCGTTTTGAAAGTTCTCATTATCCATCCTATCATTTTCTTTGCACTTGCGATCGTGGCACTGTTGTGATCCTTGAAAGTGAGATCCTCAGACATTACTACTCCCAGGTCCCTTACATTATTTTTTCGCTCTATTGTATGGCCAGAGTCTGTAGTGTACTCTGTTCTAGTTATTATCTCCTCCAGTTTTCCATAACGGAGTAGTTTTAATTTGTCCTCAATGAACATCATATTGTTTACCGTTGCCCACTGGAAAACTTTGTTTATATCTTCTTGGAGGTTAACCGCGTCCTCAGCAGATGACAGCCTCATGCAGATCCTAGTATCATCCGCAAAGGATGATACGGTGCTGTGATGTATATCTCTGTCTGATATGAGGATAAGGAATAAGATGGGGGTGAGTACTGTACCTTGTGGAACAGAGCTCTTCACTATAGCAGCCTCCGGTCTGTCAGCATCCTTGATAAGCTGTCATTGGTTTATGATTACATCTGACACCTTTATAGCTCACAGCTGACAACGGTTTGGGTGGGAGTTGGGGAGGTGGAGGGATGGGGGCGGGTTGAAGCCTAACTTGGTATGTCATCTTAATAAACCCCATTTGGAAAAGAAAGCTGAAGCTCTCCTCTACTCACATTGGTCTGCTAAAATAGGCTTTAGAGTGGTACCATAATGTACAGATAGCTCACAGGTTTAAGTTTTCTTTTGCAAAGTAGGGTTGAATTATAATTTACCTGTGTGTGGTTGTATGTGTGTTAATTACTACACTTGTTATTTTAGCATGTGATGAATACTGTGTAGTCTACTTATGAGTAATATGTTGTGTTGTTTTTGCAGCGGACTTGTACCTGTCCCCGGTAGAAACCTACTGTGAGAATATCGACTACCATATCTTCAACGAGGACAGCGACACATCACAGTTCACCGAGGACGAGATGGTCAGACTCCGTAAGTACCCACATTATATTGCTACTGTTTCCTCCTCCTCCTCCTCCTCCTCATCCTCCAGCAACAGTACTCCCTGACTTCCAGGGGTCATCATTGGTTTGCGTGGTGCTTGTGCGCGCACTAACTAGTCCTAGTTATCTATGTTAGGTAAGGGAGTTAGGGTCTTATAACTTAGATGGTAATACAGTGGAGTAACACGAGTAGTTTAATATAGACAAGATGGCTGTAACGCACGTCATCCTTTCAGTTCCAGCTCTCCTATAAGTGCCATTTGTCCATTAATGTATGGTATATTTACCCCCTCCCATTTCCACCCAATTTTTATGCCGGCAGTGGTCAGAGTAGAGGGTGGGGAGAGAGCCTTCTGTTTTTTATCATTGATTCATACACGTAAATACACGTTAGTCCTATGTAAGTAGTAGTAAATAACAGTACTTAGCAGATTGCCTCGGTGTGAACTTCAAAGTTTCCTGCTGGCAGTCTTTTCTATGTACCCGATATAATCGTCTTAGGAAATAGGATACAAACTATATAAATAGTTAATGGAACACAGTCATTATTACTGAGCCGTGCAATACTTCCCAGTTTCAAGTTTGTCAGGCACTTCTCAGCTAGTGGTAGAATTGTATATTATCTAGGTAAAAGAAACATATATACTGATTGAGACGTTTATTGAGGAAACGTTTCGCCACGAGAGACGTCTTTGTTAATGTAATATAGATAGATCTCGTGTGTATACATTTATATCTAGGCTCCCTGCCTTAGCTGTGCTCTGCACATGCGCAGGGCACAGCCAAGGCTTGGGCAGGGAGCCTAGCTGTAAATGTATACATAGGAGATTTATCTATATTACACTGTTAAAACCTTCAGTCCTGATTAGGAAACATTTCCTTAATGTCTTGAGCGTGAACCTGTCTTCTACGTACAAGTTGTAGGTGTCAACATACCTGTTACACCCATTCCGTATTGATTTAATATATCTATAATGGTGCTTAAATAATGCAAGAAGGAACTTGGTAAACCATTAGGTAATCTCTCTTATTAAATCATTCTCATCTTGGCAGATAATTGGTAGTGGAAATAGTAATACGAATCTACCTATAATGGTTAAATATTGAGATCCTTATTACGGAATACAATTCGACTTGATGAGTGATGGTAATGAATATATCAATATTAACCACAGCCCGTGGCCTGGTGCTAAAAGCTCCGCTTCACACACGGAGCCCGTTCGATTCGAGGGTTAAAATTCGAACGTTGCTTACACTATGTCGTTCACAGCACAAACTAGGTAACCATGGTGTTAGTCGACTGGTGTGGTAAACATCCATCTGGGACAAGATTAAGGGACCCCAATGGAAATAAGTTAGACAGTCCTCGATACCTTAATACGGTTTTCTATTGAGTTTATCCTGGTGGCTAATCCTCGTGGGTTAAAAGTCCGAACGAAATCATTATCTAACATCATGAGCTAAGCACGGGAGATTAATTGATCTGTATATTTCGACCTCCTCCGGGGATCCTCATCTGCTGAAGAGGATCTCAGAAGGGGGTCGAAATATACAGATAATTAATCTTCTGAGTTTGTTTCCATGTGGGTTATTACTGGCATTAAATAAATATTAATAATCTTTGTCTACAAATACATGATTTAACTTGCACTTTAGCGATTCATATTGAATAATTCTCCTCGTGATTTTCAAGCGTGTTTTTCTTGCCGAAACAAATTTCTGTTTTATAGACATTTGTAACGGTAACAAGAATATGGACTACGACTTTGTTTGGCAGTGTGTGAGGTCTTTGATAACGATCCACACACAACAAAAATGATGAAAGAGGGGAGAGACACTGGTGGAGAGGAAACTATCATTTGGAACAAGGCGTGGCTCACTAATAAGCAAGAGTTTGCATAAATGGGGTCAAATCGGAATGGGAACTGGTGACAAGTTAGGGTTCCCCCAGGGGTCAGTGTTCGGTCCCTTGTTTATAATCTGTAATATATAAACCAACCCCCCTTACACACACACGTACATTCGTCGTGCCGAATACAACCTAATTTAAGTAAATTTTTCTCTTATACGTTTAAAGGTATATTGTTGCATTTATGTTAATGTAAAAAATAATAATTTTGTATCAAAAGAATCTTAGAAAACTTGCCTAATCTTGTTATAACAAGCGTAATTTAATTTAGCCTAATCAAACTAAATATATTTTAGATAAGTCTACAATAATTTAATAAAAAAAAAACAATGAAATATATTTTTTTCGTTAGGCTCAGAATGATTTTTGTGAAATTATTGCATACACAAATTTTCCCATGCCTTATTCCGCAAAAAAAGCGTTGCTATTTAATCCAAAATAGCAAGTTTTACCTGTTCGGCACGATATATATATATATTATATATATATATATATATTATATATATATATATATATATATATATATATATATATATATATATATTGCCATTTCCTTGGTAAATTAAATAGCTTAGTCCATTCTGTAAATTTTACTGTTGAATTTGAAGAAAATAACTCATTGCCTTTTCTAGATGTTTTAATTATTAAGGGTAATAATGAATTCAAATTTAAAATTTACAGAAAACCTACAAATAACTGTTCCTATGTCCACTATTATTCTTCCCATCAAGATGGAGTTAAACTGTTTTCTCATCAATGTTTTTGAGAGCCTTACGTATTTGTAGTCCAGAGTTCATAGATGAGGAAATATCCAAAATTTATGAAATAGGTAATGATTTGAAATACCCGAGAAATGTAATTGATAAATCTTTTAAAGTTGCTAGAAACACTTTTTACAATCCAAAAAGGGACAACCAGCCTTATTCAACTAAAAATATGTTGGTTCTCCCTTACCATGAAAACTTGGTTGATATGCCTTCTCTTCTTAAGAATTTTAATAATAAAGTTGCATTAAAAATCTTGATAGAGTAAAAAAAACTTTTGATAAAGAATTCCCCCCAAAATGCTGATGGATGTGTGTATAAGATTCCTTGTAAAATTTGCGATAAAGTTTATTACGGTCAAACTGGTAAAAATCTCGAACTAAGATTAAAACAACATAAATATAGCATTAGAACTGGACAAGATTCCAATGCTATATTTATTCATGTAAGAGATTTTAACCATCCAATTGATTTTCAAAAAGTTGAGAAAGTAGTATCAAGCAAGTCCATGGTCGACAGGAATATAATTGAATCTTGTTTCATAAAAAGCAGTTTTGACAATAATATGAATAGTTCCTTTGGTTTATATAAATTAGATCCATTTATAATTAATAGAATTTGGGAAGAATTTAATAATACATTGGACAAATAATTTTTTAAATTTCTTATTTCTTGGGTAGAATACTTTGTTGGTGGGTTGTGTGAAGGACCTGTCTAGTTTGGCCGGCGGGCCTGCTGTCTCGAGTCAGGTGTTTCTTTGTTGTGGGATCTGATAGTGACGTGTGGGCTACCCCTTTATATACCTTCCTTTGATGCTTTACTTTCATTGTTCCTTGATAATGTGAGTAGTCACGAAAGCGCTTGGAACTTCTCTATTCTTTCACAGTGATTGTTTTGCATATAATATATATATATATATATATATATAATTATATATATATATATATATATATATATATATATATATATATATATATATATATATATATATTAATATTGAAAAAAAATAAATTTGAGAACGTAGAGTAAGGTGACTGATGCAGTTCACTGTGGACGAACCACAGTCCTAATGAAACAAAATTTATCGCGGCACTCATAAACTAGTAAATAATAAACAACTAATCAAACCGGACTCGATATACACTGGGTTTTTTGGTTTGAATAAATCTTTAATTACGGCACCAACGCTGTCAGTTAAACTAATGGACTGCTAGAGTTTATACCAAGAAATATGAGTAATATTAACAGAGGTATCAGTAAAATAAACAGGTATAAATAACAAAAATGTAAGTAACATTGATAAATCGATGACAAGGTTTATTTACACTGTGTACTATTGTTACATTCACGGTTTATAATATCCACAAGTTGATGAATAAGACACGTATAACACCAGGGTTGTAGTAAATGTCTTATTAATCCTTATTTATTGTACTTATGAAAATCATTCAGATGATGATGGCGGATTTAATCATTAAGTCAAGAAGTTTTCCCAGGAATAAGAACAACTCGACAATATTTGAAACTATTAGTGGAAGATCGCCACGAGTATACTGGATGTAAATAAGATGCTTCAAATATTTAACAGAGAGACAGCTTTCAGTAATTTGGACTTGACAGGGGCATAAAGCACTGATTGGTAGTAATGATGTAGAGACGAATGGAACAAACTGGCGAGTAATGCTATGATCACTAACACATGGTTAGTGATCATGTATCCGGGTGTGAGTATAACGTGCCTAGCAAGAGTAACTTTATTGGAAAAATGATGTTGATGTAGGAAATATAATATATACTCTGCAAGGCGGTGTATATTTGGTGTATGTGATGGCAGGTTATACTAGTAATGGTGGAGAAGGTTGCAAGCCTCAGCTGCAGGCTGTAATGGCTCCTGGGTAAAAGTGACGCCAATAACTTTCTCCATTCCTCCACTCCATGTAGACTTTTCTTTCCCTGCGGATGTTAACAAAAAAAGTGTGAACAAAAACAAAATTCTCCTGTTTTGTCATTTCATTCAGTGAAGGAGGAGGAATAAGTATAAAAGTTTTTCCTTGGCAATTGTTTGGGTGTTGGTGGTGACCTTGTTTGTCACCACCTGCACCAACCCACCCTCACATTACATCGTTGTGTCAGTGGGTGGTTGGTGGTGGCCTTGTTTGTCACCACCTGCACCAAACCACCCTCACATTACATCGTTGTGTCAGTGGGTGGTTGGTGGTGGCCTTGTTTGTCACCACCTGCACCAACCCACCCTCACATTACATCGTTGTGTCAGTGGGTGGTTGGTGGTGGCCTTGTTTGTCACCACCTGCACCA